AAAAAAAAAAAAAAAAATGTTCACAGACCCTCGCCGTCTGCCTCCTCCACGCACAAAAGGGCTTTTCCTGGGAGGCAGCTGTGGCTGTTGTAAACTCTTTGGTGGAACGAATCCCTTCTACCTTTGACTTGGGGGAATTGGGGGCAGAGAGGATATTCAGCTATCTAAACGTGTGACTCATACAGATTCTGTTTATTCGTTTGTGTGTGTGTGATTTTATTTTATTTTTTACATTCAAAAAAGTACAAATGGGGTATCGCTATGTTGCCTAGGCTGGCCTCTAACTCCTGAGCTCAAGCAATCCTTTTGCCTCAGCCTCCCAAAGTGCTAACATTACAGGCATGAGCCACCACACCTGGCCTGTGTGTTTTAATTGTGGCAAAATATACATAATACAAAATTTACCATTTTCACCATTTTTAGGTGTACTGTTCAGTGGTATGAAATACATTATTGTGCAGTTGTCACTGTCAATCTCGGCTCACTGCAACCTCCATCTCCCGGGTTCAAGCGATTCTCCTGCCTTAGTCTCCCCAGTAGCTGGGACCACAGGCGTGCACCACCATGCCTGGCTAATTTTGTATTTTTTAGTAGAGATGGGGTTTCATCATGTTGGTCAAGCTGGTCTCGAACTTCTGATCCACCTGCCTCAGTCTCCCAAAGTGCTGGGATTATAGGCGTGAACCACCACGCCCACCATCAATCTCTACACCTTTTTTTTTTTTTTTTTTTTTTTAATCATCCTGAACTGGAACTCTACCCAGTAAAGATTTAGATTGGTGTGAGGGGCCTCTAATGGGAATGGGTGGAGGTGGGAGGAGTCTGAGAATAATAATCAGTCTCCACCCATTCCCATTCTGGTTTCTATGAATTTGCCTGTACTAGGTATCTTGTATATGTGGAATCATACAATATTTGGCCTTTTGCGATTGGCTTATTTCACCTAACATATGTCTTCAAGGTTCATCCCTGTTGTAGCATGTGTCAGAATTTCTTTCCCTCTTTACGCTGAATATATTTCATTGTATGGATATACCTAGCACCTTTTGTTTATCCATTCATCAGACAATGGACACTTAGATTGCTTCCACCTTTTGGCTATTTTTTTTTTAATTTTTATTTTTTTTTCTGAGACGGAGTCTTGCTCTGACGCCCAGGCTGGAGTGCAGTGGTGCATCTTGGCTCACTGCAAGCTCCGCCTCTCGGGTTCACACCATTCTCCTGCCTCAGCCTCCCAAGAAGCTGGGACTACAGGTGCCTGCCACCATGACCGGCTAATTTTTTTGTATTTTTAGTAGAGACGAGGTTTCGCCGTGTTAGCTAGGATGGTCTTAATCTCCTGACCTTGTGATCCACCCGCCTCGGCCTCCCAAAGTGCTGGGATTACAGGCGTGAGCCACTGCGCCCGGCCAGTTGGCTATTATTAATAATGCAGCTGTGAACATGGGTGTACAAATATCTGTTCGGGTCCATGCTTTCACTTTTGGATACATACCCAGAAGAGAAATTGTTGGATCATGTGGTAATTCTATGTTGAGGAATGGCCATACTATTTTCCACAGCAACTGTGGAATTTTACATTCCCACCAACAGTGAATGAAGGTTCCAATTCACCATCTCCTCACCAATATTGTGTTCTGTTTTTTGTTTGTTTTTTTGCTTGTTTTTGATATTAACCATCCTAATGGGTATGAGGTGAGGTACCTCATTGTGGTTTTGATATGCATTTCTCTAATGATTAGTGATGCTGAGCATCTTTTCACGTGCTTCTTGGCCATTTGTATATCTTCTCTAGAAAAATATCTACTCTAGGCTAGGTGCGATGGCTCACTCCTGTAATCCCAGCACTTTGGGAGGCTGAGGAGGGTGGATCACGAGGTCAAGAGATGGAGACTATCCTGGCCAACATGGCGAAATCCCATCTCTGCTAAAAATGCAAAAATTAGCTGGGCATGGTGGCATGTACCTGTAGTCCCAGCTACTCAGGAGGCTGAGGCAGGAGAATCACTTGAACCCGGGAGCCGGAGGTTGCAGTGAGCCGAGATTGCACCACTGCACTCCAGCCTGGTGACAGAGCGAGACTCCATCTCAAGAAAAAAAAAGAAAAAAAGAAAAAAAAAAAAGAAAAATGTCTATGCTAGCCTTTTGCCCATTTTAAAATTTGCTTTTCCTTTTTGTTGTTGAGTTGTAATAGTTCTTCACATCCCTTATCAAGATATATGATTTGCAATTATTTTCTCCCATTCCATGGGACTTACATTCTCTTGATTATGTCCTTCAATGCACAAAATATTTTAATTTTCATAAAGTCCAACTTACCTGTTTTTTCTTTTGTCACCTTTGCTTTTGGTGTCATACCCAAGAAATAATTGCCAAATCTAACGTCATGAAGCTATTCTCCGGTTTCCTTCTAGAAGTTCTATAGTTTTCACTCATTATGTTCAGGTCTGTGGTCCATTTTGAGTTAATATGGCATTAGGTAAGGGTCCCACTTCATTTTTTTGCACGTGGCTATACAGTTTTTCCAGCACCATTTGTTGAAAAGACTGTCCTTTCCCCACTGAATGGTCATGGTACCCTTGTCAAAAATAATTTGACCACACATTGTTTATTTCTGGCTCTGTATTCTATTCTTTTGTCTATGTGTCTTTCTTTCTCTCTTTTCTTTTTTTTTTTTTTAAGAGACAGAGTCTCTTGCCTAGGCTGTAACACAGTGGTGAGATCATAGTTCACTGCAAACTTGAACTCCTGGGCTCTAGTGATTCTCCTGCCGCAGCCTCCCAAAGCTCTGGGATTACAGATGTGAGCCACCATACCTAGCCCTGTGTCTTTCTTTATGCTATTGCCACACTTGTTTTGAGTACTGTAGCTTGGTAGTAAGTTTTGAAATCAGGAAGTATGAGTCATCCAACTTTCTTCTTCTTCTTTCTTCTTTCTTTCTTCTTCCTCTTCTTCTTCTCCTCCTCCTTCTCCTCTTCCTCCTCCTCCTCCTCCTTTTCCTTCCTCTTTCTCCTCCTTCTCCTTCTTCTTCTTCTCCTCCTCCTCCTCCTGCTTCTCCTTCTCCTTCCCCTTGTTCTTCTTTTTTTTTTTTTTTGAAAAGTCTCACTCTGTCACCCAGGCTGGAGTGCAGTGGTACGATCTTGGTTCACTGCAACCTCTGCCTCCCGGGTTCAAGTGATACTCCTGCCTCAACCTCTTTAGTTGCTGGGACTACAGGCATGCAACACCACGCCTGGCTAATTTTTGTATTTTTAGTAGAGAAGGGGTTTCATCATGTTGGCCAGGTTGGTCTCAAACTCCTGATCTCAGGTTATCTGCTTGCCTCAGCCTCCCAAAATGCTGGGATTACAGGCATAAGCCACCACACTCGGCCTTGTTATTCTCT